TAATGCATGTGGAGCCCAGCCAGGCTTTGCCTCCTGTCAGGAGTAGCAAACTATAGATGTGTTCACTAAAATTTATAGCAGCTATTTCTTCAGGTGCTACACAGTAAGATTAGCTAACGGTTTATCGAATGTTTTACAGAGGTTGGAAATGCCATGATAAGTTAAGATCGAATGCCCAGCGTATTTTTAAGTGGTATACACTGTTGAAGCTGTTTCTCCCAGAGCACATTCGTCCTGATGCCACGAGGCTGAGGCTGAGCACGCTCCTTTCTCTGTATTTCCTTTTCCCCTTCACTTCGTTGCAGTATTGTATACATAGCTGTGTAGTTTCCTTCCTCCTGCGTCTGTTTGAAGAGTAGAAGCCTGCCCTCTTACATTCCTGGAAACTGCTGACCTGATTCTTCTCGTAACTTGTTCTTTATAAGGCACTTGGAGCCACAGAGCCATGAGCACACCATTTATCTCATCATGGAACTCTGGAAATTGACAAATGGTCCAGTCTTTGTTAGCCATTACTTAATTTACTATTATTGATTATTAAAGTAAATGATATTGAAGCTCTACAAATTCTGCTTATCACATTTGTTTCTTCACTTCTCCACCTAGTTTATCTACTTGGAATTTTTATTTCCTAGGAAAATGGTGAGGGCGAATGATAATCTAATTTGATTAATAATTGAGGAAGCACAGATAGAAACATCAAGGAGAACTGGTGTTTTACTTATCAAATTTGGAACCTTTTTCGTGCTTATTGTTATTGCTGGCCAGAATGTACAGAACTGACCAGTAATTTTGAGAGGTAGTTTAAGCCCACGATTAGAAGCACAGATTCTTACTCCTGCTTGAGTTTGGTGTCTGGCACTGCCCATAGCTATATGCCTTGGGTTGTACACAACCTCTCCTCACCTCTGCACAAGGTTTCTGTAGAGAGCATATTGTTAACATAAGTGAACATTTAAGCAATGCATATATATACACATATATATATATATATTACTCTTAGAGCTGCATGTATGTCTAAAAAATTAGAAAAATGATAATATATTCACATGCTGTTAGTGGGAATGTAAACTGGCATTTTTTGGCTTTATTATAATTTTAACTACATATGTTTTTGGATTCTTCTGTTGGCTTTCTGTATGTCTATCTTACAGAAATTTCCCCACTATATAAAAATAGAATGAAATATGTAAGTAGATATTAAAGTATCTGGACATTTCCATATGAAAGTATTGATGGGTTACCAGTAGGCAGGCCTGAAAGACAGGAAAAAGAAAAACTGTCTTTCTGACCTTGATTTTGCCATGTTCGTGTTGAGAGTGTGCTGGTGTGTTATTCATGCCGTTTGCTGCTAAACTTCCATTGGAAATTGCAGTAAATAGGAAATGCAGGTTATCCTAAGGTTGGAAGCAGGGCAGTCATCCAGGAAGGAGATAAATAATGGTGAGATATGGGTGTGTGCTCATCAACTGGGTCCGAATCCCACTGTAGCCACCACTGACCCGATCAACTAAATTAACATTTCTGAGGTACAAGTTTCTAATATAAGGACGAAATAAGAAACGAAAACACTGACAGCCAAACTCTGACTCGCCATGATCATCCCAGGTAGGGGAAGATTCAGAGCACAGGGTGTGGTGATGGGAGACTGCAAACCATAGCCAAGTTATTCTTTTACAACCCAATATCAGAGTCTGTCTTAGTTGCAAGATCTAAAAAATGTATTGCAAAAAGGTAAGAGCAATTCTGGTACGCAGAGCATACCACTCGAGTATTACTTTGTCATTCAGAAGAAAGAGGCCATTGGCCACGCCACGTGTCCCAGAGGATGCTGTCGTCTGTGGAGACACACAGGAGAGATAGAGGGGTGAGGCTGCCCTCTGTGTCTAGGAATCTATGTGTTCCTCTGTCTGCTTTTTTGCATGTGTTTTGTGAATATGAAGGAAAAGAGCCTTGAGATGTGAGTTTTCTCTGAATGATAAGGAAATCCATTAGTATAAATTATGTGGTAGGTTAAATTGATATGATGTTAGTGTCATTTACGTTTTATGTGTATATATTCAGTCTCATCATTATCATTTTTGAGCACAATAGAAAAGTTCCTATAATAAACAGTTTATATGTTTAAGATATTATAAGTCCTGCTTTTCAACTATTATGAATTTATAAAGGAGGATCTTGCAACTAAGACAGACTCTGATATTGGGTTGTAAAAGAATAACTTGGCTAAGGTTTGCAGTCTCTCATCACCACACCCTGTGCTCTGAATCTTCCCCTACCTGGGATGATCATGGCTAGTCAGAATTTGGCTGTCAGTGTTTTCGTTTCTTAGGGTGCTCATAACAAAAAAGCACAAACTGGTTGGCTTTAGGTAATCGAAAGTTCTCTTATTAGAAGGATGAAGGCTGTGGAGATAGCTCGGTGGTGTAAGTGCCTACCTGGCAAGTATGAGGTCCTGAGTTCAATCCTAGTACCAAGTGCTATGCTGACCCCAGGTCCCTGGGTGTGCTATGCTGGCTCTGAAACCAGGCATAGTGGTGCATGCCTGGGTTTTGTTTTGTTTTGTTTTGTTTTTTTAACAGAAAGTTGAATCTAACATCAAGGTGTGGGCAGGATTGATGTGCAGACTTTGAGAGAGATCTGCCCAGGCCTCCTTCCAACTGGTGAACGCCTGCTAGGGACCATGTGTCTCAGTTACTCTTCTCTCATTACTGGGACAAAATACCCAACACCCAGAATTAAGAAAGGAAAGGTTTATTTAGTGCAGTTAGTGGAGGCTTCAGTCCATACTCAGCTGGCTTCAAGGCAGAGTGGCACATGGAAGAGAGCAACCCTTTGTGGCAGAGAAGGCAAAGAGCAAAGGAAGGGGCAGCAGCTGAGGCAGCTAGCTAACCTCTCTCCCCTCCTTACATTGAAAGCAGATTACCCACCTCAGGGCCAGGGTGTAGCACTCACACAGGCAATCCCAGCGTTGGATCAAGAATCACAAGGGCTGGGGAGATGGCTTAGTAGAATAAGCGTCCCTGAGTTCAATCCCCAGTTCCGTCAGAAAACTCAATCACAGACTCCAGAAGCCACCCCACGACTGCACGAGGCTTGGGGGGACAACTAGACATAAACTGTAACACTGTGGCAGTCCTGCTGCTGCCCTTATCAGTTCACAGTCTCCCCACCCATCTCTCTTCTGAGGATGCCAGGAGCTGGATTTGGAGTTCACACTGAGCCACTGTGACTCCACTTTAACTTGGCTACGTCTGTAGAGATCCTATTGCCAAATAGGTTCACATCATGGGTAGCCAGAAGTTACCTTTTTTGTGTGAATATAATTTTATTTTTAATTGACTCATAATAATTGCTCATTGTAGGATGCTGTGTGACATTTCAATACATGTATATGGTGTGAAACGATCAGATCAGAATAATTGGTATTTTTGTCACAGAAGACATTTATCATATCCTTTGTATTCTGAGGATGAAAACAACTTAGCTCATGAGAGTCGTGGAGGCTTGTCATTTCTGACTTCATGTTGAGTCTTTGTGGGGGCCTGGAGGAGGAGGAAGAAGTGGCAGCAGGGCCTCTGACAACTTCTCTGCTTTTCATTTCAGAGTTTAATTTGTTTGGTCTCTGGAAAATAAAAGGCTGGGAGAGTAATAAACAGTCTAGAGTGTAAGTTCATTGGGTGCAGGTAGTTTGGGTAGGTTTTATATTTAGGCAGATATTGATATCTGGTTATGAATCAGTATACTTTACTATTCTTCCCCAAGAATATCTCCTGACTCTTTTGTGTGTGTTTTTTATACAGTAGCTTCCTGGTTCCAGTGAGATCTCCTTTCAAACGTTCTAACTTTTATGTTGTCCCATTTATGTCTTCAGGATCATTATAACCCTTATAATATATTATAACCCTTATAATATTTTAATATTAAATGGGAAGTTCAAATTTATGATTCAACTTTGAGTTCCTAAAATTACATTAAAGAATGTATATAGAAAATTGCTAAGCAAATGTGTTGTTTACCTAAATTGTGTCCTCTCACTTCACTGGACATTTTTATTTACTTAGTTACTGATATTTGTTGCTGGATACTCTTCCTGAGAGGCACACAGCAGTGAGTACCCAGACAGCTTCCTGCTCTCAGAAAGGTTAGACTGATGGAAGAGGCCTCACACGTCATCAGGTGGCATCTGCTTTGGAGATTCTCAGGAGATGACATGTGCCAGAATCAAGCCATCCCCGGATGGTAGTGAGAATAAACCGTGTGGATGTCAGAAAAATGCTTTGGTGGAGGCAGAAAGCAGTGCAAAAGCCCTAGGCTGAGACTGACACTGAGCATTGCAGGGAAGGTGGGCTGGGGCCAGAAGGTGGGGGGGAGCCAGACCCCAAAAGCCCATGGGCAGCATGGAGACACACGGTTAATGTGTCATCTTTCAAGACTGTCCTTTAACTAAATGTGATCTGCCTGACCCACAAACGGCTTTACAGCTGCATGCTTGTCATCTGGCTAATTTTCTGTCAGACTTAGCAGCCAGAGTGGCATACCTTAAATCTCATTTTAAATTCTTATATATAATTGAGCATAAGCCTAGACAGTGTGCATGTGAGCTGACATTGGACAGTCAGGATCTCCAGTTCCTATACACTAATCTGATTTGTGTTCTTTCCAAAGTCTGAAAAACCAGACATTGCAGGGAGTCAGGGTAGGGTTTGGTAAATCCAAGAGTCTGTGCTGTGTGTCCCTGAAGTAGGGGCAGGTGGTCAGCACTGGCTTCATGTTTCCGAGATATTCTCCAAAATACCTGGGAAATCAGAGGTGCACTTCATAAGCTCAGAGGTAGATCTCAGCAGAGCAAGCTGGCATTCCTGAACATGGCCTGATGTAGTAGCCAGCTCATCTCTAGTAGGTGGCTACAGCCCACAGGTGGCTGCCAGGCTATGTGTAATTGCTGATAAGCATGTCTATGGGTATCTGCTTACCTGCACATAAACCTGTGGTTTCAGGCCCACAGATGACAGCAACCAGCCGCCAGGCCGGGGTGTGCTATCCATGCATGGGCTAACCTATGGCGTCATCCGCGTGGACTCAGAGGAAAAGCTGTCAGTGCTCACAGTACAGGATGTGGGCCTCGTCATGCCAGGAGGTGAGTGTGGCACCCAGCCTTGGTCTTGTGTCTCATCAGTGAGAAATACTTCCTTGCTGCGCATCACCTTCTTCCTCTTCCAGCATTTACCATATCACTCCACCTTCTGGGGTGAGCTCTCAGGCTGAGCACCAAACTTATAATTTAGGAAGTCTTTGTTAAGCTTCAGACACCTAGGGCAGGCCTTTGCCTTAGGAAATTGAAAAATTCAAGAAGGTAGGAAAGGGAAGCCTTGATCCTCTTGTAGCTCTGCCCACACTGGGCTTGTGCAACTTCCTCTAATGCAAGGGCCAGTTTCCTATCCATTATCCTAATGCCTCAGCCAAAGCTGGACACCCAAGCTCAACTCTCCCTAAGGCACAGAAGGCAGTGAGCAGACAAGTACAAAAATTGAGGGATATAGGACCAGCGAGATAGCTCAGTGGACTAAGTTCCTGCTTAGGCCAACACAGACTGGGGTCTGAGCCTGGGCACAAAATGCCACGCCAGCCCTCACCCCCGGGTGCAGTGAGCTGATCACTGAGGCTAGGCATGGTGGTACATCCTGTAATCCCAGTGTTGGGGAGGCTGAAAATAGGATTACTATGAGTCCGAGCTGCTTAGTGAGACCCTGTATCAAATACATTTAAAATAAAAAAAAATTGAGGGATGTGAGTCTGTAATTTGTCAGGTGTATCTTTAGCAGTAAAGCCATAGAAATGATTTCTACAGATGCATAAGGGCAGCCATCTGATTGAAGGACTCCACCTGCCTGTGCAGCCCTGCAGTCTGGGTGCTTTGACCACTTCCTACCTTATGTGCTCTTCCCTGGGTCATGTTTCATAGGACTGCATATAGGCATTTAGGTTCCTCACTTAATCTTCCAGAATCAGGGCAAGGGCTCTCTCTTTATCAGGATTCGTACCCATAATCAAGCTCCTTCCTTAGTGCTGCATAGAGCAAGATGTCATATCCATGCCTAAGCAATGCTGTTTATCCTTGAGCCAGCTCATGCAACGAACTGGGTTGTAAGGGGACCTTTGCAGGGACCCAAGCACCGAGACAGCGCCATGGAGGTGGGCTTCCTTGCTTTCCCGCTCTGTGGTAGTATGTGCTGGTGCTGGGCTTTCTCCCCACACTCTCCTAATTCTAGCATTATCTTAAGGGTATTTCTGTTCTTTCTCTTTACCCTGGAAATGCTGCAGCGTCACAGCAACTTTGCTTATACTTTCATATTCTTCAAATTCTGTGTGTCCTAAGCCCACTGCATTAGCCAGGCTATCCTTATCAAAAAGAAAAGAAAAAATAAAATTAGTTGCCAGATAAACAGATCCCCATGGTAGAAGCATAAAAAGATTCAAGTTATGCAATGAAAAACTTCTTTTCTGTACACTAGAGACATCCAAGTCTCTTGTTGGAGGTACTCTAGAGCTGTAGAAATGAACAGACACATGCATATGTATTTGTGTATTTTCTTCCTAAGGTTTTTAGCTTTTGTTCCCATATAATGATAGAGTGCTCTATATGTCTTCACGTTTTGTATTTTAAAATTCATTTGTACGCACACGAAAGAACTTGGTTTTTCTCCAGGTAGTATGGTATTGCTTGAATGCATGCGAATTGATTTAAGCCCTCCTCTTCAGGGGAGCTCCACTCTCTTGAAGCTGCCTTCTGAGGTGAGGAAAGGACCTGAGTCCAGCTTCAGGGTGTGGGGAGTATCTAATAGAAAAGTTGTTTAGAAATGAGATTTGTGTTTCAAAGGAAACTTGCCCACGTGATTTATTTATTTATTTATTTATTTTCTGTATTTTAAGGAAGGGTTTACAGGGTGTTCAGGGTCTCACTACTAGATCAGACTCCTAGTGATCTGCCTGTTTACAGCCTCCCAAGAGCTGGGATTACAGGTACATGCCACCATGCCCAGTCTCAATTGCTGTCTCAGCGTGCCCCAGGGGCAGGGCCAGCATGACTGGCCTGGGGATTGAACCCCCAGCCCCTGCACCTGCTTGAGCCCACATGATTTTGACCACGTTATATTGTCTTTCATGTTTGTAGAGAAGTATACCAGTGCTGTTGGTAGACATCAGGACCGTTTTTTTCCAATTTCTTTCCCATTGTGTCATTCAGTGTTGTGATTTTTACCAATCTGCTGGTGAATATTTCAGTGTAGTTTTAATGTGATTTATTTTTTACTGTGAATTTAACTCCCATATGTGCATTAGTTCCATTTCTCACACCCTTCACTTCACCATGGAGTTCCCTGAAAGCTCTAGCTTCTTTTCCAGCAGGACGATCTTCACTGTGCATGCACATCACCTCTCCAAGGCACCAGCCTCTTGAGTACCTAATCACACTTGTGGTTTGCACTAGTGGTAGGCAGGATGCTGATGTGGAAGCATCAAAGTGTGTGTGGCTAGACTAGTATGAACTCAGCACCATTGCATTAAAGCCCTCGGGTGATGTTCTCCAAAGGACCCACCTTCACAGGGAATATGAAATCAAAGGCTACAACTTCCTAGGGCTCCAGAGGCTTAAATTCAACTTTAAATTTAGGAAACCTTTGAAAGACTTAAAAGGCAAGTATTTCATGTTTCCTAATTTGTGGAGTTCATGTTTCACTTTGGACATTGCTCCCATGTCGCTGATACTTGTGCAGCACACGCCCCTGACATTTGCTCTGCACATCATCCTTGTATCTGACTGGCAGAAGCGGTGTTCCCCTTAACTATATAGTTTACACATTAAAATTAAGGCAGTTGACATGATCGAGGCCACCACAATGAAATTTGACATTTTGCTACATGAGAAATCATCACTCTACCTAGGGGAGTTGAGTACCTGACCATTACACTTGGAGTTTGGTTCAAGATACAGTTTCTGTTCATTTGTCCTCCTTTATATTCCTGTGTTTTCATTCTTATCCCTCGCTCCCCCTCCTCATACTCTTTCCATGTGTTTTCTGGGTTTGCTTTTAGCCATCATGTGCTCAGTGAAGCCAGATGGGATACCTCAGTTGTGTAGAACAGATGAAATTGGAGAGCTGTGTGTGTGTGCAGTGGCAACAGGAACATCGTACTATGGCCTCTCTGGCATGACCAAGAACACGTTTGAGGTAGGTCAATGGGGCATCCTCTGCCACGAGCTCTCACTGTGGTCCATCTCCAGACAGCCTGTGCCAGATACACAGAAACAGATAAGCCTAAGATGTTATGGTTTTTATATTTTTTTACTGTTTTTTATGGTGGTTGCATTTTCTCCTGTTATTTATATTGTTTTTGGTAAGTTTTGTTTCTGGGCATTATTTTGGTTTTTATAACCACTGTCAAAAAATCAGCAATTTCTCAAAAATAAGCCTTTTTTTCTAATTTGTTAATTACTGTCACCTCTACTATTTAATGCAAGTGTTGGGTGACAGGTAGATGATAGAGGAACCAGGATGTGCATGCCTCACTTGAGAAACCAGCTTCACCCCTTCACAGTCTTGCAGCCTGCAGTGCGCTTGGCTTGGGGTGAATTTGTGAGAACTTACCTGAACAAATGTGATGTCAAGTGACCTTAATGGCACAAACTCATGCCTGTGGTAAGGATACACCTGTGTGTTTGTGTGGACATGTGAGTGTGATGCGTACACAGTAGGTGCTGTGTGTGGCGCAGATGTGCTGTGCATACGTGTAGTGTGCTGCGTGTGCTACCTGATGAGCAGATGCATTGAAGGCTAACACGAGAACTGGGTGCTTCAGCACTGCGAGGTGCTGTTCTCATCACTTTGTCCCTTTCCTAAGTAATGCCTGGCCTTAGGAGCAGCGTAATGCCTGGTAATGCATCAGGGAATCTTAGTTGTTTGAGGAATACGCTCCTAAATATCCAGAGCTTGGAATGTAACTGAACAGTTGTGTTTTAGTCACTGTCCAGAGGGCTGTGCTGAAAGTGAATTCAGTTTTCTCAGACACTCTCTGAAACTTGGGCTGGATATAGTCTAAATAACCTCCCCTCCTTTTTGTGTAATTTATATTCAGGGTTGAACAAAAAAATGTTTAGAGTTTGAATTCATTTGGTTTGGTTTCTTTATATTTTTCTTTTCAGCATGATTGCAATAAAGGAAAATACCATTTTAATGAGTTAGAGATGTGACTTTACCACTCACATATGTTGTTCCCACTGCACCTTCTCAATTTATCATTTTTAGGCTATAGTTTTATAAACAAGGGAACTTAGTGGTATCTGTAAGCAGTACAATGATTTCTGGCTGCCTTGTGTGCAGAGGCTCAGAGCCTGTGCTAGGAGCCAGCCCCAGCCCCCTGCACGTCCCCCAGAGGTGCCGGAGGAGGGATGGCACTCTGCTAAGCGTGGGATTTACATTCCCACGCGTGACACTGCCAGCATCTGGTACAGAGGCTTTCATACTAGTAGGGCCATTGGAAATGGAGCGCAGGGTAGTGACGTTCAGGAAAATAGTTAAAATGTAGACCACCTGACCACAAGCAGGTGCCTAATAAGGACCCCTGTCCTCCTCAGGTGTTTCCCATGACAAGCTCAGGTGCTCCGATCAGCGAATACCCATTCATAAGGACAGGCTTGCTGGGGTTTGTTGGCCCTGGGGGGCTTGTCTTTGTGGTGGGAAAGATGGACGGACTGATGGTGGTCAGTGGGCGCAGACACAATGCTGATGACATCGTGGCAACAGCCTTGGCCGTGGAGCCCATGAAATTTGTCTACAGGGGAAGGTTAGTAGTGAAACAGGTATTTTTCTGAAGACTGCACTTTTCATATCATTCTAAAGGGTTTAAAAGTTGTAGAAATTTCTTTATTTTTGATTCAGTTGTCTTTTCTCTGAGTTTGAAGTAATTGGACTCTGGTAACTCCTGAGATTTTAGTTCAAAATGTGTAAGATTTTATAGATGTTTTCTCAGCTCCATAAATATAATTCCATTAGCTTCTCCTCTGAGCTGAATAAAAATGACCATTTGAAAAATTTATTTCTCTCCAGACATGGTAGTCCATACCTGTAATTGAGGCAGGTGGACTGGCACAAGTTCAAGGCTAGCCTGAACTACATAGTGAGATCCTATCTCAGAAAAACAAAGCAAAAATAAAAACTTAATTAATAGCTGCACAGAATGAAGAGCCAAATACGCATCATAGTGCAGGTCCACGAGACCAGGAAGCAGTCGCATAGATGCGCCTTCCCTGCATGTCTCCCACGGTTTCCTTCTTCCTGTTCCTTCCACCCCTGGCTTGGCACACAGCAGAGCCCTAGTGAATGGTGAAGTTGTTCTTGTAGTTCCTGAAGGGTTATTTGGTTTGTTTTTGCTGATTGGAAAAATATCAAGAATGTCCTTAAAATCTTATTTCAGTTTTGCAAGCAAATGGAACCAGGAGAAAGTGGATACTTGACTATACCTGTGGATTGCCTTTAAAATAGAACGTATTTGAAAATTGGTGCACAAGATGTTAGTGTGGACACAATTCATGCTGGCCACACAAAGCAGACAGATTCAGCAGGGAACTAGGAGTTCTCACACAGAAAATTTCTGATGTGGCGAATATTCCTTCAGAGGTACAAACTCCAGAAGTGCATAATAAGGGTCCCTAAATGTCAGCAAGTCCTATGATCAGATGTTCTGTCTGTACTGACAAGCACCAAGGCAGCCTCCAAGAGAGATGTGGCTGATTGTACCTTCCAAGTGCTGCTTGTCTTCTCCCTTCCAAGCTGTCCTTACTGAGGCTTTGTGCAGGAGTTCACAGTTTGTTCACCTCTGTGAAGAATAGTAAGAGCCAAGATCTTCTGAGTTTATGTAAACATTGTTGGTTGTAAATTGCACAGTCAAATTAATCCTTCTTTTGGTTCCATTATGTATTCCATTATGTATAACTACTACATTTTCTCCATTCATCTGTTGATGAGCATATAGACCACTTCCAAGGTTTAGCTATTACAAATTGTGGTGCCGTAAATGTGGATATGCATGTATTGCCGTATTTGTGATGTCTTTGATGCTTTCAGGAAGACACCAGAATAGGAATAGCTGGGCCAAATGGAATTTCCATTTTTAGTTTTTTGAGGCATCTGATTCCCTTAGAATTATGCTAGCTTAAATTCTCATCAACAGTGCAAAAAGTTCCCTTTTCCTCATAGCCTCAGCAGTCTGTTGGGTTTTTAATCTTGGGTTGTAACCATTCCTGGAATAAGCTGGAATCCTAGTATGTTTTGCTTTGCAAAATTGCATACTGGGATGGGAGTTCTTGGGAAAACATTCTCTGCTGCAGGCTCACAGTGTGTCCCCCTCTGTCCCCACAGGATAGCTGTGTTCTCTGTGACCGTCCTTCATGATGAGAGGATAGTGATTGTGGCGGAGCAGAGGCCGGACTCCACGGAGGAAGACAGCTTCCAGTGGATGAGCAGGGTGCTCCAGGTCTCGCGCCCTGCCATGCAGCTTCCTTCTTGTCTGAGGCTCAGCTTCTCTCACTCAGCTAGGATCATGGCCTGACTGACGCACTGTGCTTTTGTCCATACAGTGCCTCTTTTCCTTTGCTCTACTTGATAGGAAATCCCACGAATTGTGCAGGAAATGATCTAAACAGTGCACTGGGTAGGAGTCAGGGACTAGCGAAGCTGGTTCCTGCCATTCATATTGGGGTCACAGGTTGGGTTTTTAGTAGGATCTTGAGAGTATACTTTCTTCAGATTCCCTTTTGTGTTGTTCATGGTTCTGTGTAAAATTACTCATTTTGATGACTATAGTGAGAAGACCCTGTCTTGCGTTAGCCATTTTACACCCAGAGCACTGGTTAAACTGGATGTGGTTCTGCATGTTATAGACAATATTTTGTGTGTATAAGTATTTGCTAAAGACATGATCTATTAAAAGTTACTCTTTATAATTCTTATCATAATGTGATTCCCTCTTCCTTAACATTCTAGGCCATTGACAGCATACATCAAGTTGGAGTTTATTGCTTGGCCTTGGTGCCAGCAAATACCCTGCCCAAAACCCCGCTTGGTGGGATCCACTTGTCGGAAACAAAGCAGCTTTTCCTGGAGGGCTCACTGCACCCCTGCAATGTCCTGATGTGCCCGCACACCTGTGTCACGAACTTGCCAAAGCCTCGGCAGAAGCAACCAGGTACATCTGACAGTCCTGCACAGTGTGAGCACATCTCACCTGGGCACCTGAGCCAGGTGCCTTCTGCACTTGCACGGAAAGGCTGTGTCCAGCGATCCTGGGCCTTCCCTGCTTTCACGCCTCTGCGTGGCCTTACACTCCTGGGGATCGGGCTGCCCCTCCTCCTTCGAGGTGTGTGTATGTGGCGTGTCCGTGCCCAGGAATGGCTAGAATCCACCAGCTATGCTGGGATAGCCAAGTCTACCCTGAACTGGTCTGTGGCAAGCATATGGATTGAAAGAGGTGCCCAGCCTTGTGGCTGGGACATGAATGCTTGGTCTAACTTGGATATTGCACAGTCACTAGCTGGGTGGCTGGGGCATCTTAGGGTCTCATCTCCTCTCTTGAGAGTAATACATTCTCACATCTTTTGGGTGACTAATTTAGGAATCCAAGTAGATAATACAGAAGAAAATAACTTTGAGACCTGAAGAATTCTATTTGTGATATCGTTATGTAAAAATTTGCCTAGCACTTTGCATTCTGGGAATACATTATCCATTATCTGAGTTGATACAGCACCTACATAACTCATGCTGTATCAAGTTACACACAGTTATCAGCAACAAAGAATTTATTGTAAGCATGCACTGGATTGTGAGGCAGGAACTCTTTGGCCACCATGATGGTAGAGGCTTCTGCCTGCCATGTACAAGTGAGGCTAAAGCTCGGGCTGGACCAGTAGCACATAGTGCACATAGTCCTAACTACTACTGGTTCTTTGTTCTAGAACCTTGAAAGTCAGTGCTGTTGTCTCCAGTTTACAGATACAAACCAGGAGCCACAGAGAAGCCTAGGAGTTTATCCAGGGTTATGCAACTAGAATGCAGAGACCAAGCACAGAGTCTGTGTTCCTAAGAACTGTTATGTGTTACCCCACCTGCTACTTTTGTTTCTTTCTGTTTTTCCTATAGTTTTAGCCTATCTGCTACTATCTAGTAAAGAATGGCAGTGTTGGGCAGAGCTTTAAAGCAACATAATCTAGAGGTTATTGACACTTATTTTAATTGGACTTATGGATGTATATAATGAACTTCATAATAAACATAGGTACAAATTCTTAAAACTTCACCTGCACTTAGGTAGCATGTGCAGAGCTCTGAGTTCCATTCCCAGCACCCCCAGGGGAAAATGAGAAAGCCTCTATAGGTGTGGCTGGGTCCTGAGGGTAATAGGTGCTACCTGTGCCTCTGCAGATGAGATTCCGTAGGAGAGAGGAGGGTTCTTAAGGTTCATGCTCAGGCCTGCTGGGGTGGCTTAGTGGCTCGGTGTTTACCTGGCACGCATGAAGTTCTTGGTTTAATCTCAGGCGCCACACACCCAAATCACATTTCACCATCAGAAAGCTGATGCTGCAGAAGGAAAGCTAGCAGCCAAGCCTATAGCAAGAAGAAACTCGAACCCATCTTTTTATTTTCAGTTAGTTATTGGTACTTTTGTTTCTTCTTAGGTATACAGAATGATCACATACATTATAGGGAATTTGTACGTATACATAGTATATCTTGATTCTTTTATCTCCTTCATTCCCCTACCCTCCCTTCAGCCCTCTTCCCCTTCCTATTTGCAAAATCTTTGTTTCCATTTTCTCTTTTCCCTTTTTTCCTTTTCTCCTTCCCCCTCCTTAGTTGTCCTTCCCATTTGAATATTTTTTTTCCTGTTTCACAATATCTGTTATACATTTGGTCCTTATTTGCACTTTCAGGTTCTCACACCAGAGAAATCATGTGGTATTTGTAAATACGTGTGTGATTTATTTCACTTAAGAGTATGGTCTCAAGGTGCATCCATTCACCAAGAAATGTCTGAAGCTTATCCTTATAAAGAAAATTGTCCTTCTCTTTGGCTGAGTAGTAAAAGTGCTCCATTGTATGAAAGAACCACATCTTCATTATCCATTCATCAACTGATGGTTGTTTGGGTGGTTCCCAAGATTGAACCCATCTTCTGACTCTTTTAAACCCACTGCTTTTATTGTACAGCTCAGATATGTTTTGTGTTTTCTATTTTCCAGATATACACAATTTATTTTTGGTGTTGCTCTTTTCTACATATTTTTTGTTTTTAAATTGTTTTCTTATATTTTAGATTTTATATTTTCTCTCTTTTTTCCTTGTATTTTCATGTTATCCTCTTGACCCCTGGCATATGTGGTTGCTGAAGTCAAATGTATAGGTAGAACTGACAGAAGTATCCACTTCTTTGGGTTGTAAGGGAACACTGCCTTCAGTCTGCAGGTCCCTGGGAAACACAATGCATTGTCCTTCTGTGAGCAGAACACAAGGATGAAAAATTACTCTTCTTTGATGTATTGATTTCTGCCACATCATGCTTTATGCTTATGGCAGGACTCAGAGTGTCCACAGTTTAAAGTCAGAAGTGATTGGATCCTCCTCCTTCACTACTGGGTCTACGTATTGCCAGAACCTCTTGACCAAGCGATCCCCACTTCTTATAGTTCCCTTTACAGAGCCCAGCAGTTCAGTAGTTCATGAAAACAGATTGCATGAGTTTTTCCTTTTAGTGAAATGGAAATTAAAACTGAAGCACTCATTTCCAGGAGAAAGGCTTTGGTTGGAAAGTAAAAGAAGATTGGGTGGGTAAGGGGGCTGGGGAGATAGCTCAGTGGCATAAATATCTGCCCAGCAAGTGCAGGGTCCTAAATTCACTCCCTGGTACCAGAGAGAGGAAGAGGGAGAGGGAGAGGGAGAGGGAGAG